GGGATCCCTCCCAGTTCTTTCCGCCCTTGTGTCCACACAGGATGCTCTTTCTAAGCAAGGCCACATTCTGCTGTGAATCCTAGGGGAATGGTATGGAGCCCACTGCATGGACAACCAAGAGCCTAAAGAAGCTAAGGCTGGTTTTGTGGAAGCGCTGGACAAGATGAGGTGTGACAGTTTCTGTATATGTTCACTGGGGAAATGAGAAGCAATTGGAATATTATCACTTGGTTTAATTTCAATATTGTCTATCAGAAAAGATAAAATATCAAGGAGAGGGATATACATGATGGGGTGACCTATATCTGAGCACTCACAATATACAGGGCATTTATTGGATAAGTGTTGTAATAAGAGGGCAGGCTACATTCCTGGCGCCCAGCCGCCCACACAGCAAGCCTTATCCGAAATAATTACACGGAAACTGTATTCTTTTAAACACTGCTTGACCCATTAGTTTTAACCTCTTATTGGCTAGCTCTTACATATTGATCTAACCCACGAGCTGGCTTACCAGGAAAGATTTAACCACAGTGGCACTCTGTTGTATTAAGAGTGGTGGCAGGCTATGGCTGTCTGGAGTGGGAGAATCAAGGCTACTGACTGACTAGGCTTCTTTCTCCCAGCATTCTGTCTTTCTACTCCACCTACCTAATTTTCTGTCCTATCAGGGCCAAGGCAGTCTCTTTATTTAACTAATGAAATTAACACAAAACAGAAGACTTTCCCCCATCAGATAAGCATGTTTTCTTGTGACAATATGCAGTGTGGTGATCCAAAACAGTTACAGGTGTAACGATCAGGACCTCAGGTCACAGAGCACTGCAACAGACATCGAGAGGGAGAGTTTGTTTGAAATACCATGAGGATTGGTGAAACAAGAGAGCATAACATATTCTTAGAAAATTGCTTGAAATATTCTGGCGTAGGTCTGCCATAAAATTTAACTTGCAAAAACATATAATATTTATCAACTAGAATAAAATTAAGAGATTATGATGAGTCATATTTACAAAATAAGATTAAACTAAATAAAATATCCATTAGAAATATTAAACTTTCTTTCAAATGTAAAAAAATTAGAATAAAAAACACTTATGAGTGAGTACATGTGATAATTGTCTTTGTAGGTCTGGGTTACCTCACTCAACATGATTTTTCCTAGCTCCATCCATTTGCCTGCAAAATTCAATATGCCATTTTTTCTACAGCGTAGTACTCCATTGTGTAAATGTACCATATTTTTCTTATCCATTCTGCAGGCGAAGGGCATTTAGGTTGTAAACATAGAGCAAAGAAAAGCAGCCCACAAATTCACAATCCTAGAGAACCTAGTCAACAATGAGTACTCAAAGAGAGACATACATAGATATAATCTACATGGAAAGTAGAAAAAGATGTCCTGAGTAAATTGAGGGCATGGGAACCTTGGCAGGGGGTTGAGGGAGAGGGGAGAGGCAAGGAAGGGAGCAGAGAAAAATGTACAGTTCAATAAAAATCAATAAAATTAAGGATAAAAGCTACAAAAACAAGGCATTCAGATGATAAGAATTAGATTCCAAAAGTGGAAGTAATATAACTACTTGTACTAAAATATTTGTTTTGTTGTGAATGAAGCTTAGACCTTCTGAGACATGTTGTGAGGCAACTACACAGGACTTTCAGCATTAACAAAACTCTTTCCCATTTTGGAATTCATTTGTTATATTGTACCATATTAGCACATTTTTCTATTGATGTCTTCAAATGCTTCCAGGATTTTAGCATGATAGCCAAACCAACCTCATTATTCCCCATTTTTGTTTCTGAATGTGCTATAATTTCATGCACCATATGAGATCTTTTCTCATGATTTCTTTGACTCCATTGTGAACTGGTAATACTTTTCTAAAGCACACTTCAGAAATACAGTCCTGATGGGTAAAGAAAAGGTATTTAGCTCACCAACCCTTGACCACTTTAATATATATATCCCTTCTCTAGGCAGTGATAACTCTAATTGCTTTTTATGTTGTCAAGAACTAGAAAGAAGAGAAAAAGTTCAACACAATGACTTTTAAATTGGAAGTATTAGGAAAAGGTTATAAATTAAGTCTGTTCATTACATTTAAATAAAAGGGAGGAGATCTTTATCTTGAACCAAAGCTCTACATTAGAAAGTTTGAACACAGCAGAGTATTCCATTACTGAAATTTGTGCTTAGTTAATGTGGCTGCTAAGTTCACTGGGGAATTGAAAAAGCAGAGAAGTCGACTCATCTATCGAGAATACAGATAGCATAAAATATCCAGCTTAAATAACACTGATAAAAATATATCTACAAAATAAAGGGCAATAGACTGATGATGCACATGCAACAGGTATAGTAATATAATGACTGCCACATAAGTAAGAAACTTGAGTAGGTTGTGACAGAATTTTCTCACTGATCAATACAAAACTTTAAAAAGGCATGACATGGGGAAGTGCCTATGTGCATCACAACTTAACTACATAAATATAAAAGAACATGTTATAAAAGAAAATTCTGTTAAATCTAAATTTTAAAAAAAATGTGTATAGGATAATAGTGCAATCAGATGTTTCAAATAAAGACAGGGTTTTATTTACTCTAAGATGGAATGATTACAAAAATTTTATTTTCTTGCCATACATATTCGATTAATGGAAAAAGAAATTACTTGAGGTCCTAATTTAGTGTGATGTAAAGAAAGCGTTGACACTAAAGTCAATTGCAATGGTCTGTTAGGAAATATCTTTGAGTTCTGTGAAGAAAGATGAAAATTACAAGAGTATAGACTAAAAAAAAATGGATAGCTCTTACATGCTGGATCCATCTCACAATGAGGTAAGGATCTGCATACACTTTCAATTATTGAGAGATTCCTGAACAACCTAGAGCTCTGTGAAAATGTAGCTTTATTATTAATCTTTTTTCCCAAGTAGCCTATCATGATATCCCACTATGTAAATAGCTATTTGATAATTATGTATCTATATATCAACAGAGTCTTAGTGATACAAAGTTATTCAACATTCAGCTTAACCTTCAGTTTTAACCAAAATCAAAACCATTTTTTAGACAAGACAGAATAAAAGATTCTGGTTACATACTGCCTTCATCTGAAACCTCTAAGTACATTTCTGAGTTTGACGGGGTCTCAATCGTTTTTATCTGTTCAAAATGCTGGAAATGGAAGAAAGCCACAGAACATTCATTTAGAGTAAAAATCTAATGCTTCCTGGTCAGAGAGAGCAATTACCCCTTTTTTATGAACTAATGTTCTCACACCAACATTGTTATCTGACAAAATAATTAAATTACAACTGCATGTGTCTCTTATCTAGATTCATCGATATAAACCATATTATCCACATGGGACAAAATTTCATTATTATTTAAACATCTTTTAAAATCTTAACTGACTTATAAATGCAGTAGTTTTTAGAGATATAAATAATGATAGAAAAATGCAATTTTACTTTAAATAGATCTTCATTCAGCCCCTATCATGTATACCCTGAGTTTAGGGGCTATTTAGAACTTCAATGTTCAAATATTTTTGACAAAAAAGATACTGAAATGTATGAGATGATAAGTGGGGTGATAGGAGGAGAAATGGGACTGGGTGCGTGTAAAATAAAGTAAGTGACATTCTCAGAGAACTAATGAATATATTCCTATAAAGGTGCTCTAACGTAATACAAAAGACAGAAACTTTCATGTTACAAGCTGAAAAAAATTATATTCAGTTACTCTGCCATGATCTCCCATTACTTAAAATTTTATTGTCTTAACTGACATAATGTTTATACTTATCAGTGCAATATGAGGTTTCAATACATTTCCACTTTGCATAATATTCAAGTAAGAGAATTAATATGTCTATCACTTTAAAAGTCTGCCTTTGCATTTTTATTTTTAGAATATCTAAAGTACTCAATGCTAACCTAAAAATTCAATATATTATTGAACCAAAGACAATACTAAAACATACCTCCTTTGTAATAAGTAAGCTATCATTACTTTTAAGACCACATAATTTTTACTATGACTTATGCCTTTAACACTATACTAAATGTGTCTCAGAATTTCAAGGCCTTAGGTCAAGTGATATATTTACACATCACTAATCAAAAGACACAAGCACAAAGGCAAACAACAGACATGGGAATATTTTAATATTCTCACTTCATAAAACAGTACATTCTATACTCAATCATTCCATTTGTTTTGCATAAATGAATAATAATTGCTCAATGCAAGATGTAGGAAAAAGGTACGTACTCTGTGGGAACCGTGGTGGGTTGTCATTGACATCAGTTAAGGTTATATTGACAGTTGTGGATCCTGAGAGTCCGCCAACTTGCCCAGCCATGTCTTTGGCTTGAATGACCACTGAGTAATGCTCTCTGGCTTCTCTGTCCATGTTGTGTAAAGCTGTTCTTATGACTCCTGGAATATAAAGTTTGAAAATCAATCAGTACAAGGTTTACATTGAACAAGTAATATTTTTGAGAAACATGAACAGTGTTCTAAATATTGACTTTGAAATAGCACAATTTTAAATGAGAGCATTTTTTTAAAGATTTATTTATTTATTATGTATATAGTATTCTCAGTACTCTGCCTGTAGGCCAGAAGAGGGCACCAGATCTCATTACAGATGGTTGTGAGCCACCATGTGGTTGCTGGGAATTGAACTCAGGACCTTTGGAAGAGCAGGCGGTGCTCTTAACCACTGAGCCATTTCCCCAGCCCCTGAGAGCATTTTTTTTAGAAAAAAAATGTTACTAATATTGAAAAACTGAGTCATTTACACATTTGTTTGTATATACATATTTTAAAGCAGTCATTTTTTCTCAAAATAGAAAATCATTCACCATGTGCTTCCTGGGTTAGTTGGCTCTCCAAAGCAGCCTTCACAAGACACACACATTGAAGTAACAGGATAACATGTGAATATATATTCCCTCTTCCTACTATGTTGGATATGGGGAATAAAATCAGGCCATTAGGATTGGTGACAGCCATATTTAGCATTTGACTGATTTCACTGATGTTCCAGACATTTATAAAATCATCCTCATTACCATATCTGACCTTTCTGACAAATACCAGCAATATCTATATAATTGACATTAAAATAGTTTTCATTGTATCCGATTAGAAGTTTCCCAATAAGACTCTCTCATCCTAGAATTACTAAACATTTATATACAATATCTTTTATATGAGAGAGTTAATTTTTATAGCCAGGTTAAAACTAAAAAGAAGATAAGTTATAATAGTAGAAAGAATTATTGAATCTATCTACGCTTTGCAATATAAGATATTATACTTCTTTCTGCTTTTTGTCTAATTTGTTTTTTGCAACCGAATTGATTGAATTTATAGTGACTTATATTTAAAAGCCTTAGGCACCAGATAAAATGATAGAAACCACAATTTCTATATATCAAACAAATAATTAAGGACATTTGATAGAGGCTTTTCTGAAAGTAAACAGAGAAGAAAATGATCACTATCAAAATCAATCTGACACCACAATGGTAATTGATACCCCTAATTTATACATATGCAAAATCCCCTTGCATTTCTCTTACAAAGAACAGTGCTTCATCAAATATATAAATTACAAAAGTAGGAAATTGAATCATATAGTAATTAACACTCATAGGATGTAGAGAACAAATTGGTACATGGTAGAAGAACCATTTGGTAAATTTGGTAAAACCAAAGTTCCCAGAGGATAATAAGTAGTACTTTGGCTTGCTATTTTTCTGTTGTATTACCACTTTAATTAATATAGAAAAAGCAAAAAATATCACATAAGACATTGACATTGTACACTTAAAAGGAAACCATATTTTCACTTAAAGGTATTATTCATTGAGCAAAGATGTATTGACAATGATCTAGTCAGTCGAAAAGAAATTGAACCTCGCCTTCTGAAAGCAGGATGACAGGAATCAACCTTCAGTTTGGGAGTGATGGTGACAGAATTGCTCATGGTAATTTTGCAATAAAATTACTTTTATATCCCAGAACAGTAAGGACTCAAATTACAACCTGTTTTAAAATAAAGGGAATGCCAAACCTGGAAATTAGAAAATTGTCCAAAGATAGATAGGTTTGATTAAAAATCATGTTAGCTCTCATACTAATTTCATAAATAAATGGATAAATTTAGCATCTGGCCTGAGTCTCCACCTCAAAGCTGGAAATCACTAAAGATTATCTGTACTCATACCCAAATATGAAGTACTGAACCATATTGTGTTTTAGGGCCTCAATGCATGTTTGTTTCCCTTTTATTTGCCACATGCTGATGAGATATAAAGATAGTATTTTAACTTCTGATGTTAAAATGCATAATTATAATACCTGGTGATATAAAACTCATTCACGTATCTAGCAGTCTGATAGATTTTCTAAACAAATCAAGGCGAGTTATCTCAGATATATACTTAGAGACTGTACTGTCAAATCACCTTAGTTTTATTTTTGCATACTAATGAGATATATGTGCTTTTATCTATTTTATTTTTAGATTGTAATTACATCCTATATACATGTGTGCACGGATGTGTGTAACAACAATTAATGATAGAAACGAAAAGTACCTATTGATTTGAAAGAAAAACAAAAAGCGTGTATGAAGAATTTGAAGTGAGATAGGGGAAAAGGAAAATGATGTAATTACATATTACAATCTTACAAAAAAAAGAAATACTTTTCAAAACAGAGAGAAGAGGTACTCAAAGAAAGACAATACCACGTAAACAATCCAGATTTGCAAAAGAAGACAGTGCCTGAGGAAAAATGGCAATGGAAAATGACATTTGTTTGTGTGTACTCTAAGACTGAACACTCTTAAGAGTACAGTGGTTCAAAGTAGTCTTGTGTTCCTCTGGTCCAACACTTTATTGATTATAGCACTCAATAGACACTCCATGCTCTACTTGAGTCTTACAAACAGCGCTCTTCACATGAAGCTTACACTCATGATAGGGAAAAACATTAAGAAAGATAATTAAGGACATTGTACAAAAGAAATGGAGTGGTATCAAACACTAAGGAGAAATAAAAGCACTGGCTTTGTGCACAGTTGTAAGGACGGTTAAGAGGCAGCATGTTTGGAGTGGTACACTTACCTGTTGACTTACATGTTATGTTTCTAAAACCTGCAGGAACTTAGGCACTGTTTACAGGCAAATTATAAGAACATATGGGAAATTATTATGTCTTAAGAACTTATGTGTGATTTTTTGTCTTTAACTAATGCATTACTGTGGTTTTACATCATCTGTGCTCTCAATGATATTTGTGCAGACCTCTGACTGTATGGTAGACTTGCCACGAGGTGTAATGCTATCATTCAATTTTTCTCAGCTTCATATTCAATAATCTCCATGAGATAACTTGGAGTATTTTCTCCACTGGCATAATAAAACAACACTAATCCAGAACTAAATATACAAATTTGATTATCTAAACTCAAGAAAGTGATACACCATTAAGTAGAGCTGAAAACTCAAACTTGTAGTCATTTCATTAAAAGAAATAAAGAATGAAGAGATATTATTAAAAATAAGGATATCCTCAACATTCCAAAAAAGTAGTTCTTATTAGTAATGAGTAGCCAATGGCCAAGTAAACATTAATTATCTCCACATACATTAATGTAAGCCAAAATAACCACAGCCAAAGGAGAATGATGTGCTTTTGTCAGATAATAATCACAATTTATTTAAATCATGAGACTATCAGTAATATTTGCAGAAAATGTATTAGATATGAATGCTAAACCATGACAAAAATCAACACAAGTATGTTGACAAAATCAAACATCTTCGTATTTTAGAATTATTGGCATACTTTGGGCTGCAGAATGTTTATCATTAAAATATGTATATGAGAACAATTAAATATATGCACATGAATGTCTGCTTGTTAGGTAGGATTCCATCTTATTGGCCGTGATTAATATGTTAGAAAGATGTGAGAAAAAAGCTTTAGGTGAAAGAACTCATTCATTACACAAACCCTTTCAAGTGGAATTTCTCAAACAGAGGGAAAAAAAAACAAGGATGTCATCTCACCTACAACCTAAAGGAATGCTGAGATATGATAAATCAGACTGAAGATATAGAATCAGCTCTGGAAATAAGGGCCTGCAAACTTCAAGGCTTTTGAATTTGCCTGCAAATAAGGTGGAAAGTCATCAACATTCTTTATGCAAGGAAACAACATAATCTTACATTTTAGCAAAATGGATTTGGGTGTTGTACAGGGAAAAGATAGTGTAGAACAATTCAGAAATCAGGAAACAAGTTCACAGATGATTACAATGAAGGTAAGTAGACTAGACTGCAGAGCAGTATCAGGTGTTGAGCCTTTGCTGATGGAAGAACTGAATGGCATCAAAGGAAAGGAATGTGATAAAGGGTGATTTAAAATATTTTACCTTACAGCAGATTGTAAGCGGTATTTGTGGGGACATTTTATATACCAGTGCTTGTGGGTTGCATTGTATGTCTGTGTATGTGTGTATGTGTGTTTGTGTGATGCTGCAAAACTGGGTTAGAATATATTCTATAGCAGACATCTTAGTAATTCACAAGAGATATTGTGTGAGCTCATAGTATATGAGAGGATTGGTTAAACTACACTTTAAACCTATCATAAATATAAGATTTAAACCCTTTAGCTTGATGACATTCACAAAGGAAGAAGTATATAAAGATGTTCAAATATTGAATCCTGGCCCAGGAGACAGAGACAAAAATGCACACCAAAGAACAGGGACAAAAGATGAAAAGCATGGAGGTGTGGCATGCTGGAAGCAAAGAAGTTTGCAGAGAACAGCAACTGTTCAAGTGTGTCGAACGCTGCTGCGAAGTCAAGTATGATCCAGCCAGAGCAGGCTGTGGGATGAATGGACGGCACAGGCATAATAACGGGAAGTGTGGCAGCCTGACCTAAATTTGAACAGTGAATATGAGGTGAAAGAAATGTTCCATGGGGTATTTTGAAGTGCATCTCTAAGGACAAGTAGACAGGGCAAGATGTCTGATTATAAGTGGACTGTGAAAAGGGCCATGATACTAATGGCACTCCGGGACAAGCTTAAGGGCCCACATCAGTGGGGAGTCTCTTGAGAGAATGAGGAGTACCAGCTGAAGAGCACTGAAGAGCGCTAGCTCCTGACTACATTGACCTCGATGTACTTGAGGGGTACCTGTGAAAAAGAATGAAGAGTATTTGAACCCAGGGCACTCTCTAGAAAGGTCCTGGAATGAAAAATAAAGATAATAATTACAATCTCAAAGAGAAAGAGGAAGCGGCTCTCACTCCTGTATCACCGAAGAATATGCCAATTATGGACAATAAATGATCAAAATTGCTCTTGATTGAAACTTCATCCCTTGAATTATATGTATAAAGGCTAC